CAACTGAGCCACCCAGGCGCCCCTTTTTTTAAATTTTTTTTTTAAAGATTTTATTTATTTATTTGACAGAGAGAGAGATAGCGAGAGAGGGAACTGGTTATTATTTTAAAATTCATAAATGATGATGTTAAATTGATTTCTTGCCACACAGAAAACTTTTGATGTGCCATCAACTCCATCCCTCACAAACAGGTGGATTCTAGAAAAATCCTAATATAGCAAAAGAAAACAGCTTTAACAAGATCAGTAACACTTTATCTTTAAAAAATAATAGTAGTAATAATTTTTTTTTTTGAGTAAGCTCCCAACATGGGGCTGGGAACCCCCACCATGAGGCTGGGAACTCACGACCCCGTAATGAAGAGCTGCATGTCCCACTGACTGTGTTAGCCAGGTGCCCCTAGCAACACTTCCTTATATTATTTTCTTTCACAAAAGTGCTTTTTAACTCAAGAATTCACCATTCTCTATTTAATGACAAAGAAGCAGTAGAAAAATTTTATTGCATACTATAGAATAGGCAGAAAATGAATTATCGGTGGGCGGGGGAGGGAGAGAAAAAACAACCTGCCTCAGAAGAAATGCAACTCACCTTTCCTTTGTTTTTGGGACTTGTCTGGCCTACAAGTGAAGCATGATAAATGAGACCATACTTTGGGGTATCTCGTCTAGACTTCAGGGCTCTGAAGAGTGCCTTTTCTGCTCCAAGAATCTGAACCGTAGAAGCTGCATGTTTGGCCAAATTCAAAAGAGAACCTTCAAAAAAAAGTAGTAGTTACAAGGAATGCAATTCCAAGTATTTGAAAGTTGCATGTATTAAACATAAGACATATAATCTAAGTATTATAGCCACCAGAGTAAATAAAAATCTGATATAATAGATTCTATAGTCAGAGATTCCCTAAAAAGCCTCAGCATTTGTGATTTATCCATGTAGCACCATAAGCAGAGGCTTACAATGAATGCTTACAACAAACTGAAGGTGCAATTAAACTTATTTGCCCAAGAGATGGTATTAACTATTCTACATTCCATTAGCATATCACAGAGGATTTTAGACATCAAATATTCTGCTTCAGATATGAAAAAAACATACAAATATATGGATACTCAGGACATCTCAACAGAACTATGTGATAACTTTCTCACACTTTATCTCTGTTGTTTAAGATATGGATGAGGAGATAAAAGTACACTAATCAGGTATAAAAAGTTACTGCTTTGGAATGCCTGGGTGGCTAATTGTTAAGCATCTGCCTTCAGCTCGGGTCATGGTCCCAGGGTCCTGGGATCGAGCCCCACATCGGGCTCCCTGCTCCGCGGGAAGCCTGCTTCTCCCTCTCCCACTCCCCATGCTTGTGTTCCCTCTCTTGCAGTGTCTCTCTCTGTCAAATAAGTAAAATCTTTAAAAAAAAAAAAAAAAAGTTACTGCTTTGTTAGATTTATTGCACAGATTTTGTCAGAACAGACCCCCGACATTAATGCTCAACCACTAGATACATATCTAAAATTCAACACAAGCTTCTGTTAATCCCTGCATCTCTGACCACAGAAGTTTAGTTAAGCCTATAAAAATTTGGATGCAGACAACAAACCAGCCAGATGATCCCAACCTCACAGCTGAGCTATTTGAATGGGCTGTCTGACTAATGATGCAGTTACAGGGGCTATTCTAGTTTAGACACTTTGATGTAGATGATACATTAAGATCTTCTGTGACGGGGGCGCCTGGGTGGCTCAGTCGTTAAGCGTCTGCCTTCAGCTCAGGTCATGATCCCAGGGTCCTGGGATCGAGCCCCGCATCGGGCTCCCTGCTCGGCGGGAAGCCTGCTTCTCCCTCTCCCACTCCCCCTGCTGTGTCCCTGCTCTCGCTATCTCTCTCTGTCAAATAAATAAATAAAATCTTTAAAAAAAAAAAAAAAGATCTGTGACGGATTGTAACGATGACTCCAATAACAGTGATATTTCACTCTATTTGCAAATATTCAATTATACAGTATTATTTTTAGAGCATACCTTCTTTGTAGCATCACCATACACACATATGAAGTCTTTTTTTTTTTTAAAGATTTTATTTATTTATTTGAGAGAGACAGAGAATGAGAGAGAGCACATGAGACGGGGGAGGGTCAGAGGGAGAAGCAGACTCCCTGCCGAGCAGGGAGCCCGATGCGGGACTCGATCCCGGGACTCCAGGATCATGACCTGAGCCGAAGGCAGTCGCTTAGCCAACTGAGCCACCCAGGCGCCCCACATATGAAGTCTTATTATAAATTTACTAAAAATATTTTGCATGTCAAATATATTAAAACAGCATATTCAGTAGTGAACCATCTTTAAAAAAAAAAAAGGGTATATATCACCTGTTGTGAGAACTATTCCTATTTAATCTGATGAGGTTTTTTTTTGTGTTTGTTTGTTTTAGAGATGGGGGGCAGAAAGGGGGAGAAAGAGAGAATCTTAAGCAGCCTCCATCTCACAACCCTGAGATCATGACTGAGCCGAAATCAAGAGTCAGGCGCTTAACCAACTGAGCCACCCAGGTGCCCCTAATTTGGTAGGAAGTATTAACTGATTTCAACCTCCTGCATTCATCTGATTATTCTCATTAATGGTAATAAACATCTGACAACAGACCACAAGTGTCTCAGAAGAGGTAGTGACTGAAGATGCCTTCATTATCCAAAAGGATATCAGGCATACGCATCAGAATCATCACTGAACACTTGGTCCTTAGTCCTCTCCCATATACCATCTACTTATATTTATTACCTAAATTTTTTAATAAATGTAATTTTAGATGAAAAAATAATCCTAGGAGGAAAACAATCTACTCTAAATATCCCTATTTATAAGTTACATTAAAATCATCACCTGCATGAGCAATGAGCCGTGCTCCCACTAATTCCCCAACCATGACTGTAACATTTGGTGCAATGGCCATCATTCGATTTTGCAGATATTCATAGAGCTGGGTTCTATATTCTGAGATTTCAATTACCTAGTATAAGGAACAAAATCAATATACCACAAATGACTTGTGTAAAAATCACATAAAAACCACATGTCTGAAACAATAGAGTCCTAAATTGTCATAGATCAGCTGTGTAATCCTGGGAAAACAAAGCATTCCTTATCTCAGTTTCCCATTTTAAGAGAGATTTTATGAGATAATAAATGCAAACAACCTACTACACTGCCTAAAAATATTAGTCAATATTACTGTTATTTTTAAAAACTCCAAGGGCTAGACATTGTGTCATCGTTTTTTTTTTTGGTGATCTTTTTTTTAAGTGTGTGTGATCTTTTTTTTAAGATTTTGTTAAGTAATCTTTACACCAACATGGGGCTCAAACTTACAACCCCAAGATCAAGAGTCACATGCTCTACTGCGATCTCCAAATTGGTGGTGGGGGGGGGGAGGCGGAGGGAGCATGCCAGGATACAAACACAGAGGCTGGAATTAAATAACTCAAGCTGTATTTCTCGGTCTCATTAACGGATTCATAATTCATTATCCAGACAATGCTAGCTAACAATACAAATAAATTAGATAGTATTCTTTCAACTTACTTCAGTATGTATTTCCCCCTCTAATTATACAAATCAAGATGGCATCAGATGAGGTAGTGACTGAACACCCTCATATTTATCAGGTGAATGGTAAGTTTAAAAATCATCATTGCCATCAGAAAATTATTTTACATAGCCGGTCCCACCACAACTAGTTTCTCCATGTGTATAGTTTACCTGAGTGCAAAGATGCAGAATATTGCAAATATCTTCTTCTGAAACCTCTGTTCCCATTGATATCTCCGCAGCTGCTTTCACTTCTGCTTCAACTTCCTCTGGCAGTAATTCAGAAAGTTTGGCTGAGGCATAATTCTTCCTATCGCCTATGGAATGTTTGCAGAGGATGAGGGAGAATCACTCTTCAACAAATTATATAAAATCCAAATAGTCAAAAAAAAAAAAAAAAAGTAGAGATAAGCCAATGAAAAGGGTGCCTAAACAAAACAAAAAGCGAACAAGTTTGACCTACTAATTTTCCTTATGTAAGGCTTGATTTTTAGAGATTAAAATCTCTCCCCATCATCTCCCTCCAAAAAGGTATAAATTAGAATAAAAACAAAATACCCCATAAAACAGGACTAATAATATTATAACAGACAATTTATAGCTAAGGTTTTATTAAAGTCAGTGCCATGAATTCTTGGGGTGGTAATATGGTAATGCAATATGAGCCTGGTTAAGTCCCATTTGTTAACCATTGTTAGGTTCTTCTACTAATATTATTACTGTACACTGGTATGGAATATAACACTAACAGTAGAGAGAGCAGTACCAGCTTTAGTATTATAACATATTGCAGGATTTCCCACGTCTACAGTTGCTCCTATTAATGGTAAATTCACTGAGATACATTCCACCTTAAGAAGCCAATTTAAGAAAAACCAAATCAGAGAACCACGTTCTCTTGTTGTACTGGCCATTGAAGTCAAAGTTCAAATTACCAGTTTCTGAATTCCAACAGACACTAATTTGGCTACACTCCCAAAATACACATAAATTGTAAGGAACTCTGGGAAGCTTGTTAAGAAAAAAAATTACTATAACTCATGTCTTGGGATACAAATAAATTATTTTCAATGCCTTAAAGGATAAACTTACCGACTTTCTGTAAACACTTGCAGTATGTCAGATTATCTGAAATAATTTTTCCTAATTCAGGGAAATGCCAGCCATACCATTCTCTACACCGCATAATGTAGTTGTTTAGTTCTTTATCTAAGTCATCTAACAAGGCTGCAGTAGATTAAAATGAAAAAGAGGAACATAAAAGGGCTTTAAAAAACTAAAATATACATAAAATTTACCATTTTAACCATTTTTAATTGTAGGTTTCAGTGGCATCAAGCACATTCACAATATTATTCAATCATCACCCACTATCCATTTCCAGAACTCTTAGATCATGCACAAATGGAAACTCTGCACCCATTAAAAACACCTCATCCCCACGTTTCCCCATCTCCTGGTAATCTCTTCTACTTTCGGTCTTTTACGAATTTGCCTGTTCTAGGTACCTCATAAGTGGTATCACACAACAGTTGTCTTTTCTGTGTGGCTTATTTCGCAGCATGTTTTCAAAATTCATCCATGTTGTAAACCTTTTTAAGGTTTAAAAATAATTATCCATTATGTGTATGTACCCCATTTTGTTTACCCATTCATCTGTTACTGGGTATTTAGGTTGTTCCATTTTTTTGGCTATTGTGAATAATGCTGCTACAAACATGGGTGTGTATGTATCTGTGAGTACCTGCTTTCAAGTCTTTGGAGTACATACCCAGAAATGCAATTGCCATTTAAAGGGATTTTTAAAATTGGAAACTTAAGCGTTTGAGGTTTCCAAAATTCACTTAATGACATGGGAGAATGACCTATTAAAAAGCAAAGTGAAAAAAGCACAATGCACTAGATCCCACTTATTGATCTGCTTCATGGAAAAAGACAAATTTGTTAACATCACTAGTGTTAATTCACCTTATCTCCAACTAGTCAAATTATGGGTGGCTTGCCTTTTCTATTCTGCATTTTCTAGTTTATTTACTTTGCTATTAAAAATCCTAATTAATTTTTTCTTTCTTCAACTGATAAAATTATAAAAGATACAGTTTTAACAGCAGGAAAAAGTTAGGAGGATCAGACCTCACATACAGTATACTTACAAATTGCCTGAACAATCATGGTGTCCACTTTATCAGCACTAAATTTCAATCTATATCGGGACAAGCTGAGGATAAGGGGGGGGAAATAAAAAATTACTGACAGCAGCTACGAAAAGAGTTTAATTAACATCTTGAAAAACTTTATTTTTATTTATTTGTCAGAGAGAGAGAGAGCACGCACACAAGCAGGGGGAATGGCAGGCAGAGGGAGAAAACAGGCTTCCTACAGAGCAGGGAACCCAATGTGGGGCTTGATCCCAGGACTCTAGGATCATGACCTGAGCTGAAGGCAATCGCTTAACTGACTGAGCCACCCAGGCGCTCCTTAAAAAACTTTTTAAAAACGAAAATCCCTCTTAGAGCTACATTAATTTTCCCAACACAGGAAAACCAGTTGAACAAGAATACAATATGCAAAACTAGGAAATACACATTTAAAAAGAAAATACAGGGGCGCCTGGGTGGCTGGTTGGGCATCTGCCTTTTGCTCGGGTAATGATCCCAGATCCCAGGGATGGAGCCCCGCATAGGGCTCTCTGCTCGGCAGGGAGTCTGCTTCTCCCTCTGCCCCACCCCCCAATCATGCTTGCCCTGTCTCTCTCTCTGAAATACAGTCTTAAAAAAAGAAAATACATCGGTCCTGCTATAACCTGTATTTCTGAAATATGAATTAATTTGTGAAAGACAAACAGGATAATGCTGTGTAGTACAAATCATATTGGTTCATGTATGAATTTTACAGGGTTTCAAGGCTTTACACCAGGAGGTTAACACGTGAAAACAGAAAGCCCACGGAGGAACATTACTGTACATAAGGTTTTCTTAACCTTGGCACTGTTAACGATATGGGCATGATAATTCTTTGTTGTAGGGGCCTATTCTGTGCACTGTGGACATTTAGCAATATTCCTGTCCTCTACCCATTATGTTAGTAGAGACCTGACCCCACCTATAACAGCCAAAATGTCTCTAGCCACTGCCAAGTGTCCTCTAAGGGATATTTAATTACCCTTGATTGAGAACCACTACTGTTATACAATGTCAATTAATCACAAGCTTGAATCTTGACGCAGTTTAGCTGCTTGTGCGCTCTTAAAAATGCTTATTACAAAGTTATCCTTAATTTTTATGCATTTTGCTCATCTTTGTAACTCAGCAGCTTTAACCCTTCCGTTGATTTATGCTATTTTTTGTCCAAAGGTACAGACCTGTTTATTATTCCTTTAATATAAATCTAACATGTCTTTTTAACTGTATTAATATATAGGGCTATTTTTGATAGTGCTCTGGTTATAAAGTTGCATAGGTTTTGAGTAATCTACCTTTAATCCTATTTTTTTCACTGAAAAACCCTGTTATTTTAGTGCAATCTCACAGAATGCTTTCAGAACACATATCACAGTACAGCAGAAATGCCTGTTCTAATGGACCTCTGGTTAAACATGATAGGTCAATGTGCTTCTCTTTGGCTTATGATAAAAAGTCAATACAAATTGGAGTAAAACAAACAACAGATACACACAGAAGGAGACCACAGCAGATGAGAAAATTTGGGGAGATGAAAAGATGGAGGGATAGCAAATGATTCAGTAGAGATCAGGGAAAGAAAAAAGGGAAAGCCCAAGAATTGTGGGGCTCAACACTTGAAGAAGGATAAATACCTATGATGAGGACTGCCTGGGTTATAATCCAGGCTTCGTAACTTACCAGGTGAACTGATTTGGGGCATCAGATTCATCTATAAAATAAAGATACTACTACTATTTTCCTCATAAGATTACTATGAGAAATAAATTAGTATTTGTAATATGCTTAAACCAGTGCAACACAATTGCTTATTAAACAGGAATAAGTGGACTCTATTTTCCAGTAAATCTCACCTGTGTGCCAATCCAAGACACATAGCTGCCATTTCACGTGGTTCTACTCCAGGGATTAATCCATCCATCTGGGAACGGATTCCTCTCATAAGTTCATTAACAACAGGACTATGGATACAACTGAGATTCAGCTTTTCCTGTAAGAAGAACATCTGTATCAATGAAATAAGAGTTTTGGGTACCTGGGTGGCTCAGTCAGTTAAGCATCTGCCTTTGGCTCAGGTCATGATCATGGGGTCCTGGGATCAAGCCCTGCGTCGGGCTCCCCGCTCAGTGGGGAGCTTGCTTCTCCCTCTGCCCCTTCCCCCTCACTCATGTTCTCTCTCTCAAAATAAAGAAAATCTTTTTTTTAAAAAAAGAGAAATGGGCGCCTGGGTGGCTCAGTCATTACACGTCTGCCTTCGGCTCAGGTCATGATCCCAGGGTCCTGGGATCGAGCCCTGCATCGGGCTCCCTGCTCAGTTGAGAGTCTGCTTCTCCCTCCGCCCCGCCCCTTGCCCTGGCACATGCTCGCTCTCAAATAAATAAAAAATTAAAAAAAAAAAAGTTTTCCTAAAACCATTTAAATATTAAAATAGCACAGATTTAGGGGCGCCTGGGTGGCTCAGTCGTTAAGCATCTGCCTTCGGCTCAGGTCATGATCCCAGGGTCCTGGGATCGAGCCCCGCATCGGGCTCCCTGCTCAGCGGGGAGTCTGCTTCTCCCTCTCCCTCTCCCCCTGCTTGTGTTCCCTCTTTCGCTGTGTCTCTCTCTGTCAAATAAATAAATAAAAATCTTAAAAAAATAAAAAGTAAAAAAAATAAAATAAAATAGCACAGATTTAAATATTTTTTATTTAAAAAAATTTCTCGTTTCACATTTTTGTAGTGTTTGTACAAAGAGTAATAAATGCAGATTGTTTGATAAACACAGTACAGTACTGTAAATGTACTTTCTCTTCCTTCTGATCCCCCCCTCCACGCTTTTTTAAGTAGGCTCCATGCCCATGTGAAGTCCAACCCGGGGCCTGAACTCAAGAGTCAGATGCTTAACCAACTGAGCCACCCAGGTGTCCCCGATTTTCCTTTTTTCTTTAAAAAGACTTCTTTTTTTTTTTTAAATTTTATCCATTTACTTAGAGAGGGGGAGAGAGAGAGAGAGCACGCGTGAGCGCACGAACAGAGAGGGGGCAGAGGTAGAGAGAGAATCCCAAGCAGACTCTGTGCTGAGCACAGAGTTCAGATGTGGGGCTGATTCCATGACCCTGAGATCATGACCTGAGCTGAAATCAAGAGTTGGATGCTTAATGGAGTGAATGACCCAGGCGCCACCCCCTTAAAAAAAAAAAGGATTTATTTTTAAGTAACCTCTACACCCAATGTGGGGCCTGAACTCATATCCCGAGATCAAGAGTTTTATGCTCCATCTACTGAGCCAGCTAGGCACCCCCGATTTTCTTAATAATATTCTTTTCCAGGGGCACCTGGGTAGCTCAGTCAGTTAAGCGTCTGCCTTCAGCTCAGGTCATGATCTCATGGTCCTGGGACTGAGCCCCACATCTTAATTCTGGGCTCTCCACTCAGCAGGGAGCCTCCTTCTCCCTCTCCCCTCTGCCTACTTGTGATCTCTCTCTGTGTGTCAAATAAATAAATAAAATCTTTAAAAAAAGTAACATTCTTTTCTCTAGCTTTATTTATTTATTTTTAAAAGATTTTATTTATTTATTTGACAGAGAGACACAGCAAGAGAGGGAACACAAGCAGGGGGAGTGGGAGAGGGAGAAGCAGGCTTCCCGTGGAGCAGGGAGCCCAATGCAGGGCTGGATCCCAGGACCCTGGGATTATGACCTGAGGCGAAGGCAGACACTTAACGACTGAGCCACCCAGGCGCCCCTCTAGCTTACTTTAAGAATATAATATCCAATACGTATACAACATATGGGTTAATCAGCTATTTATGTTATTGGTAAGACTTCTGGTCAACAGTAGGCTTTTAGTAGTAAAATTCTGGGGGAGTCAAAAGTTATACACAGAATTTTTTTTAGAAAGATTTCATTTATTTATTTGAGAGTGTGGAGGGGCGGGGAGCAGAGGGAGAAGGACAAGCAGATTCTGCACTGAGCCCGACATAGGGTTTGACCTCACGACCTGAGCTAAAATCAGGAGTTGGCAGCTTATCTGACAGAATTTTGTCTGTGCGTGTGTGGGGAAGGGTTGGCACCCCCAACCCTTAAGTTATTCAAGGGTTTACTATACAATTTAACTTTTTACACACCCCACACACACTAATAAATTTTGTTCTGCACACCTTCATTTTTTTTCATTCTGCATTGTATTTGCTAAGTCCTTTATATAAATCTATAGTTCTAGTTCATCAAATGCAAATAATTACACGCATGCAAAATTGATGTATTACATGATTAAGAAACAAATACTTGGTACGTATGTGCTTAAGAAACAATATTTGGTATGTATGAGTGATCTTCGGTGTAATTTTTTTTTTTTAAGTAGGCTCCATGCCCAGCATGAAGCCCATTGTGGAGCTTGAACTCGCAAGCCAGAGATCAAGACCCGAGCTGAGATCAACAGTCAGATGCTTAACTGCCTGAGCCACCCAGGCACCCCTTTAATGTTAAGTTTCTAAAACAGAGAAACTGGGGGTGCCTGGGTGGTTCAGGCAGTTAAGCATCCGACTCGGGTTTTGGCTCAGGTCATGATCTCACGGTCGTGGGACTGGGCCCGAGTCAGGCTCTGCGCTCAGTGCGTAGTCCGCTTCAGATTCTCTCTCCCTCCTGTGCTCGCTCTCTCCCTCTAATAAATAAATAAAATCTTAAAAAAAGAAAAACTGAAAAAAAAAATTAAAGATACCTATAATCCCACCATCTAGCAATTTGTCATTCTGTATTTATTATGCTAAAATTTAATTTTTTAAAAAGATTTTCTTTCTTTATTTGTAACAGAGAGAGAGAGCACAAGCAGGGGGAGTGTCAGGCAGAGGGAGAGGGAGAAGCAGGCTCCCCATTGAGCAAGGAGGCAGATGTGGGACTTGATCCCAAGACTCTGGGATCATCACTTGAGCTGAAGGCAGACACTTAACTGACTAAGCCACCCAGATGTCCTTAAAATTTAATGTTTTTTTTTTTTTAAAGATTTTATTTATTTTTCAACAGAGAGAGAGAGAGACAGCGAGAGAGGGAACACAAGCAGGGGGAGTGGGAGAGGGGGAAGCAGGCTTCCCGCGGAGCAGGGAGCCTGATGCGGGGCTCGATCCAGGGACTCCAGGATCATGACCCGAGCCGAAAGCAGTCGCTCAACCAACTGAGCCACCCAGGCGCCCCTAAAATTTAATGTTTTTTAACAGAAAATTACAACTAACACTTGTGGGCACTTCATGGAATGAATATAGAGATTGACATCATCACAGAAAACTTCATTACTTACCAGACAGTATTAGAAATAATTTATTTAATTGAACTTCTTAAATTCACAATCCTGACCTAAAAAAAGCCCCTCAAATCTCCTTAGCATTTTCCTACCTAAGAAGACCTACAATAGAATATAAACCTTACTTTAAAAAGCAGAGGTATGCTCACAAACACAGTAATTAACCTGTCACTATAATATCTACTATAATCACTGAAGATCAAAATAATCACGACCAGCTCTCAAACTGTTCTGCTTTTCATGCTTGGGAGCCCACTTTTCCAGTCTTTCCACTTTCATCTCCAGAGACTCTACCCCCTGCTAAAGTTTTCTAATAAAACACATACACTAAAGAGAAATGTCATATCCTCATTTCTGTTGAAAGAAAAGAAATGTGACTAAACAAAAACATGGCAGGATATACATAGTGTTAACAGATCTCTGGGTGGCAAGGTTAAAGCTAATTTTTATTACTTTTTGGGGTTAATATTTTCTACAACAAACAGGCATTACTTGTATGTACTTGGGTCCTGATAATCGTATTGGAAATCAATTATTCTGTAGCCTGGGAAAAAAGATCATGTAATAACAAACAACTCAATACAAAGGCTAGGCTTTGTAGCTACTATGCTGTATGACGAGTTCTGATTAGCAGGCATGAAAAACATAGTTACCTTTATGACCCCTCCTAGTTTAGCATCAGCTACAGCCAGGGGTTCATGGGCCTCTTTTACTATTTTCTTCAGAACTTTCTTCAGCTGCTTATTGATTTTGCCCTCCATTAGAGCTGTGAATGCTTTTAAGGAAAAAGAAAAAAGAGTTAACTCTCAAGTTTTTTTAATTTTAAGAACCTCAAGATCTCATTTAAACTTAAAGAATAAAGCAAAATAAACACTTCCTTTCAAAAAGTTGAATTTAACATTACTTCTAAAATGAAATGATAAATGCAGAAAACACTGAAGGAGTTACACATTTCAGTCTCATCTGATCTTCCCACCCTCATTTAAGTTCTAGAACCAGAAGTTAAAAGCAGATACAGCATTCCTTTCCTTATGTCATATGAAATCTACTCTTGAACCCAGACAGAGCTCGAATCAAAATGTTAGAAACAATCTATTTTGGAATGACAAACAGATTTACTCTCCACTGTTACTGTAGGCAGACTGGCCTGATGCTCTGTGAGATACCCTAAAATCCTGTCAAGACTGTAGTAAAAAGGAGTGTATCCATTTGGAAGGTCCTGCTGCAGTGTAAGCATGCCTGAATGAAGGCTTTGCTAATTCCAGATCCAGATGCCATCAGGCCTCTACCTGTAAACCTCCAGTGACAGAGAACTCACTACCCAAAGGCAGACTATTCTATTTGGGACTGCTTTCATTTTTGGCAGGTTCTAAATCTGCTACTTTGTAACTCTCACCCTTTCTTAGGCCTACACTTAGGATCTTCTGGACCCACATGGACTAGTATCTCTTCTGCTGTCAGGGTTTTGGCTGAATTTAAAGTATGCCTGCCAGGAAGGAAGTTGGCCACAATTTCTAAGCAGGCAGTTTATGCTTAATCAGCCAGGTACCTTCTCTTTCCTCCTGACCACATCTCCATCCATTTGAGTTACAAGTCCATTTCATCTGTTATCTGGGAAGATGAAAGATGAGGACAAAAATCATCTAGCTACCACACAGCTCTTACAGAGCTCTTACGTTCTAAGAAGCTGAGTCTCAAGCTACTTTTTTTAGGTTATAACCTTTTACATACCATATTGTACAACACTGACTCCTTATAACCTACCTTTCTAGTAAGAGTTATATTCTTTCAAGTTTTTAATCTTCTATAATTAAAAAATTTTATTCAACTTCTAGCTTCTAGTTATCAATCTTATACTTCAGTGTTTCCCTTTTTAAAAAAATTTCTTAAGCAAAAATTTCTACTCTAGAGCTAACATTTACATTTACCTTCCCTTTATTATTAAAAAGCATGTTAATTACTCTTCATAATATATATATATTTTTTTTTTTATTTTTTTTTTTAAAGATTTATTTGAGAGAGAATGAGAGACAGAGCACGAGAGGGAAGAGGGCAGAGGGAGAAGCAGACCCCCTGCTGAGCAGGGAGCCTGATGTGGGACTCGATCCTGGGACTCCAGGATCATGACCTGAGCCGAAGGCAGTCGCCTAACCAACTGAGCCACCCAGGCGCCCCATACTATATATTTTTAAAAGATGGCAGGAATGGTGACAGGTAAAGGGGAAACTGAGTCTTCTCTTACTTCACTAGCCACTTTTCAGCATCCCCTAGTAATCTTCCCACTTCATCCAAAAGTAGGCTTGTACCAAATTCTTTTTTTTTTTTTTTTTAAAGATTTGATTATTTGTCAGAGAGAAAGAGCGAGAGAATACCAAATTTTTCGGTAGTATTTGGAAGACTTGCAACTTGAAAATCAGACCGTAAAAATAAAGCTCTCCATACAAACAGTATAATCTGAACTTCTAGGACCAATATAAATTTTTTTTTTGAAGATTTATTTATTTTAGAGAGCGAGCAAAAGCAAGTGCATGCTCAGGGGGGAGGAAGAGAGAGTCTTCAGCAGACTCTGCACTGACGCCAGCTCCATCTCATAATCTGAGCCGAAACCAAGAGTTGGGTACTTAACCAACTGCACCACCCAGGTGCCTTTAAATTCTTAAAAAAAAAATAAAATAAAAAAAATTCAACCTTTTATTTTCATTTTTTTTTTTTTTTAAAGATTTTGTTTATTTATTTATTTGACAGAGAGAGAGAAACGGCATGAGAGGGGATAGGGTCAGAAGGAGAAGCAGGCTCCCCACTGAGCCGGGAGCCCGATGTGGGACTCGATCCCAGGACTCCGGGATCATGACCTGAGCCGAAGGCAGTCGCTTAACCAACTGAGCCACCCAGGCGCCCCTTATTTTCATCTATTAAGTTTATTTATTTAAGTAATCTCTACACCGAACTGGGGCTCAAACTCATGACCCTGAGATCAAGAGTCACATGCTCTTCCAACTGAGCCAGCCAGGCACCCCAAAGACTTTTTTTTTTTTTAAAGTAGGCTCCACATCCAACATGAGGCTTGAACTCACGACTCTGAAATCAAGAGTCTCATGCTCTACGGACTGAGCCAGCCAGGTGCCCCTGGCTATATTATATTCAGAATATAAATTCTTGATATCACAACACATCAGACTGTTTCTTAGGCTATGGGGTTTTTAAATGCATACTATGATATCTATAACCGCTCAGTTTGGGTTCTGTCACATCAAAATTTCCTTATAACAGGGAATGGAAGTTAATTCCCAGGAACGACTGCTCTCTTAATAAGGTGATATTTGAGTTTCTAGTAAAAATAGATGGGAAAAGATTCTTGACAGAGCTATTTTCATTCCTTTACCCAAAATATTTATGTGCTAGAATCCAGGAATTTGATGGTGAAGAACAATGCAGACTCTGCCTTCATGGAAAGTAGATGGGGGGGGGGCTGGAGTTGACTTTAAATTCTCAGCTAGCATGGCATCTGGCCATTTATCTTTACATTATTTTAAGGAATACCAAGAGCTCAGGAGGAAAAGGAGATATTCCTCAAGCCTCAGTTTTCCTATAAATAGTGATTAACATCTAACCCACAGGACTGCTTCAAGGATTTAACAACAATTTTGAAATGAGGAGTACAAAACCGGACAATCACTACATGATCAATATATTACCTATTAATAGTAAAAACCTGCTTCATGTTTGGGTAGAAGTTGGATCTATCCGTTTAATAAGGACTGGTCGGAAATACCTCAAAAAAGATTAAAGAGGTAATATGCAAAAAGGAATTCAAAAGAAGCCACTTGGGATCAGGGCCACTCACTTTACAATTCCAGCGGAAGTTCAAATCACTGTCTATGTGAATAATGTCCCCCAGAGTTGGAGAACAGCCAATACAATCTCACCTGGAGTCCTAACAAAATTCTACCCATATAATTTTAAAGCTGTGATGAACAGATCTTTTAAAAAATTCTCCAGGCAGGGGTGCCGGCTGGCTCAGTTGGAAGAGCATGCAACTTGATCTTGGGGCCATGAGTTCAAGCCCCATGTTGGATGCAGACATTACTAAAAACAAAAAAAACAAAACAAAAAAACCCTTCAGGCAAAAATTATCATAGTTGTGCTTTAATGGCTCTATGAGGCTTTAATTATTGACTTACTGATGAAGCAGTCCTAGAACTATTTTTAAAAATTAAAAAATTGGATCCATTTGTGGGTCTTCCTTCAGCTACCCTTCTGCCAATGTTGGGGCAGCCCATTAATATTCCAGCATGTTTAGTTACGTTCCTAATTTTTATAAGAGAATTATACCCATCTCTTGGGGCTGATAACAAAATTATTTGGGTTTGTGAAATTCTTGCCTAATTATATGCCATATCCTTCCTTATGGTCCTACATTTTCAAATTTTACCGCCAAGCGGTTGGCTGATTTGATATACGGAACTTAAGCAATTGAAAAATCCACAAGCAGAATTTTATATCCAGGCTTCTTGTTTTCCCTAACATTAAAAAACAAAACAAAACAAAAAAAACCCTTGAGACCAACTGCCAACTAAAGCCAAGCCTAGTTAATAACACCTATTGTCTGTTCTCCCATCATGAGGACCAGTTGAAGGACAGGAGTCATCCATTCTTCATGCCCCCTTCAGATTAACTCTTAAGCCTAGGTGTAGTTTTTGCATTAAAAACCAAACCAAACCAAACCAAACCATACACACAAAAGCCTATTAGTTTTCCTAAAACTTTTAATAATATTGTACTCTTCTGAACTAAAAATGTGTACTTCTGGAGAGCTGCTGTATTATTATTTCAACTGTGAATCCTGGCTATTCTCAACTTTACTCCTGGATTAATATTATCAGACAGCTGTGTACTTGACTACATTACCTTGGTCCCTTGTAGAACAGCTTTTACTGAATTGTGCTTCAGCATTATGCTGTTGGTTTCCACAGGGAGATCAATTTAACCACTTCTCACCTCTCATCACATGGGGGGGAAACAAACCCTATGGTGAAAAAAGCTAACTCAATGTTGTCTCAGTGGTAGTGACGAATTTGAGTTAGATCACTTAAATTCAATTCCAAAAAGAATGCATCATTGACAACATTGAATAAGGTTAACTCAGGCAACTGAAGCAAATAATCTTTTGATAAGGATAATCAACTGACAAGATTAAAAAAAACCCCAAAAAGCTAGTCTTTCACTTTACCTGCTAATGCTTCTGCTGTATCCTGAAATTTCTCAAAATGTTTTAGCTTTACTCTAGAAGGAAAAAAAGAAAAGTTACGAGGGCATACTGGTTGTGCAAAAACCATGTATTTAGGAAAAAGGTTTTGGACTGTTTTGTTTACCAACAGAATACACTTTCCCGTCACTGGGTATCAGGGTGCAAAGTCAGGTAAATTCTTCTTTAAACAACCAGTTTCTCTAAATGTTAGGTTAGTAATGTCTGGACTACTGCAGAGGTTGTAGGCTTTGAAGGAAAATAAACATCAGCAAAGAGGTTTGATACCACATCTCAACCACAGGAAAGATGCTGAAGCTTCAACATAACCTCTGCTGCTTAAAGCTGGACACAGATCCTTAGAAGGACAGAGGAGACCTTAGAAAAGGTATTAAGAGTCCCTCTTAAGTCAGGAATCTCACAACAATGATTTGTCCATCTCATACAAAGGCCATTAAGAAATAGTTTATCATCAAATCTGATTGCTGTTACCCTTATTTTACCCCCTTCCCCCCCCATACAGGGTATATGCAAGGTAACATCATTTTATATTGAAACAAAAATATATGATGAATAATTCATTGTTGTCTCAGTGGTAGTGACGAATATTTGAGTTAGATCATTTATATTCAGTTCCAACAAGAATACATCATTGACAACAATGAATCAGGTTAACTCAGCCAAATGAAGCATACAGCCCTTGAAAAAAAAAACTAGTCTTCTATTATATCTAAGATAGTGTTGTTTTAAGGAAGATTTTCTTACCTGCCAGGAAACAAAAACCCTGGTGGGTCCCTTAAATACACACTTAACAACACAAAAAGATTTTAGGAAAAGTAGTAATTTCATCTTATTCTGCCTCTCCCCACCCCCATTTCCACCTTTCTGAAGTGGCATTTGTTCATCTCTATGCTTGCATAAATGCATATAGAGATATACAAGAACCCTGCAAAAATGGGATCACATTATACATACCATTCTGAAGCATGGTTTCCTTGGTATACCACTGACCTCTCTCCAAGTTAGTAAGAGATCTATAGATATACTATAATTTATTCAGTAATTCCACTACTTAGGGCCCCTGGCTGGCTCAGTCAAAGTAGAGCATGTGACTCATGGAATCTCAGGGTCATGAGTTCAAGCCCCACATTGGGTATAGAGATTAAAACAGTAACAACAGGGGCGCCTAGGTGGCTCGGTTGGTTCAGTGTCTGACTCTTGATTTCGGCTCAAGTCATGGTCTCAGGGTTGTGGGATCGGGTCCCACAGGCTCTATGCTCACCACGGAGTCTGCTTGTCCTTCTCCCTCTGCTCCCCACCCCCACTCACAGGCGCTCTCTCTCTCTAAAACAAATAAACAAAATCTTAAAAACACCACCACTACCAGACACTATGGACTCTGAAAAACAAACTGAGGGGTAGGAGGATGGGTTAGCCTGGTGATGGGTATTAAAGAGGGCACGTTCTGCATGGAGCACTGGGTGTTATATGCAAACAATGAATCATGGAACACTACATCTAAAACTAATGATGTAATGTATGGGGATTAACATAACATAATAAAAAAAATAAAATAAAAATAAAAACTCCACCACTACCAACAACAAACACCAACTAACTGTTAACTGCTAAATTCCTGGTTTCAAGATGGCTTACATTTTATTTGCTTTCTCTGGAGTTTCAAATTCTTTCCACAAACTATCAACCTCTTGAAGTTTCTTCTCATTCAAAACCTGTAACAAACATTTAAATAATTTTAATGGCATAGCTTAGGCATACATAATTACACACTTCAAGTACAACTGCATATGTAAAATCAGAGTGTAGAAGCTATTTTTCCTCACCGAAGTAACAAACCAGTTTTCTTTCTTTCTTTCTTTTATTTAAAAGATTTTATTTATTTATTTGAGACAGAGAGAATGAGGGACAGAAAGCATGAGAGGGAGGAGGGTCAGAGGGAGAAGCAGACTCCCCACTGAGCAGGGAGCCCGATGCGGGACTCGATCCCAGGACTCCGGGATCATGACCTGAGCCGAAGGCAGTCGCTTAACCAACTGAGCCACCCAGGCGCCCCAAACCAGTTTTCTTACCCACCATAAATTTTTGGTCAAATTAATAGCTCAAGTAGCCCATTTTTTTTTTTTCCAAAGATTTTATTTATTTATTTGAGAGAGAGAATGAGAGACAGAGAGCATGAGAGGGAGGAGGGTCAGAGGGAGAAGCAGACTCCCTGCTGAGCAGGGAGCCCGATGCGGGACTCGATCCTGGGACTCCAGGATCATGACCTGAGCCGAAGGCAGTCGCTTAACCAACTGAGCCACCCAGGTGCCCCTCAAGTAGCCCATTTAAATAACTGGATGGAATTCAGTTGAAGTCTTTGATGAAAACTTCCTATTTGAAGGAGCCACTAACCCACTAACCCCTTCACAAAGCATATCATATTCATAGAACATCAAAAGACTTTATTTGCCTACTTTCTAGAATAAAGAGTAAGTTTTATTTACTGCTACGATCATCCTAACAAAGTATTATGGATGGATTTCTCTAAAACTAAGATAGCATCAATTTTAGGATACCTGTTATAAGAAAACTTAAAATGCAAAGAAAAAAAAAGGGGCACTTTAAATCTATGAAAAAGTCATTAACATTTAGGTATATATATATTCTTTTTGACTGTCTTAACATTTTATTTATACATACCTTTAGGAATCATACTATACCACTTAGCATAACATGGACACAATCCTAGGTTTTAACAACCATTGTATGAAAATACCATCATTTTATGCCCTTACAGATGTTTAGGGTTTTTCTAAATTTTCCTTTTCTCCTTCCGAAAACAGTTTTGTGTGTATACATGTTGTATTTCTATAGCACATATTCTACTGGAAGTGGAGTTAATTGATCACATAGGAAACGTATTACTTCACAGTTGACAGATGCTACCAAATTGCTTTCAAGAGAGTCTATTAGTTTCACTTAAATCAAGACTGAATAAAACTTATTTCCCGGGCTCCTGGGTGGCTCAGTTGGTTAAGCATCTGCCTTTGGCTCAGGTCGTGATCCCAGGGTCCTGGGATCGACTCCCGCATCGGGCTCCCTGCTCACCAGGGGGCCTGCTTCTCCCTCTCCCTCTGCCTGCCACTCTGCCTACTTGTTCTCTCTGTCAAATAAATAAATAATCTTTAAAAAAATTATTTCCCTATACTCTCATCAAAATCCAATGTAGTAAGTCAACTGCCCAGGTATAACATAGGGTAGAATCAATGCTAAAATGCATTTCCCCCATATTTAACATTCTTGAAATTGGGATGCCTTACAACTGATGGGAGATTCAAGTTTAAAGTACAAATAGATATCATGCATGTCTTCTTATGGGGGAAAAAAACCCAGCCAATAAATTAAAAACTATACTGATAAACATTTCATCAAATCTGTATTATCACAGAATATTTACACAGTAAGTTTTATTGTCCAGTTATAGCCTAGTATATATTTTTGTGATAAAGCATGAATACGACACTGCAAGTTGCACTTAATTTCTGTCAGACAAGTGTGGCAGGATGATTTTATTTTTTTTATTTTATTTTTTTTGGCAGGATGATTTTAAAGATTTGTTGTGTTGTTTAAATTCAATCACACATAGCTAAATTGATATATTTACAGAATTCGAGAAGTTGGTCAAAATAAATCGAAGTGAAAAAACTTAGAAACCAGAGTAAGAGCAGTAAATGATCCAAAAGCAGAGTTTATATTTAAAAATTACAAGCTGGGGTGCCTGGCTGGATTAGCCGGCAGAGTATGGGACTCTTGAACTCAGGGCTGTAAATTCAAGCCCCATGTTGGGCACAGAGTTTGCTTAATAAATATTTTCACACACATACAAAAAATTACAAGCCACTAACAATTCTATTTTGCCTATCATGAGAACTTTAGAATCCAAAGACATTCCAGCAAATCTCATGAATGCACTGAAACACTGATTCAGTTATTTTCTGATAAAGGAAGTTCACAGAACAGTCCTGACTTTTGGAAATAGTTTATTCAGAGAATGCCACACTAACCATATCCAAAGTTCAGGAATTATTGAGAGGATATGTACCAAACAGGGGATATGACTCATGAGTAAAATTTACATTTTTTGTAGTTGAAAAGCAAGTATATTTGGAGATAACAGTTGGGTAACAATCTGCATATTCAAGAGATATTATCAGCATTCTTAAAGTAAGAAAGGAAATGTAATAGAAACATTCAAGACTACTCAAAGGTCTCCAAAGACTCTGTTATGGCAAATAAAACCTTGCCATTCTGTTCCCAATTGTGCTACAACAAAACAAAATTAGAAATAACTGCTATATTTCCTGAAAAATATGCCTCAAATTTTAGTCATTCATTTTCACACAAAGAAATCTGAAAACATTTGTATACAAAGTCCATTTTAAGTCTACTTTGGATTAAGATGGAATTATTTCCACTTCCAAGTAGAAATGGTGTATAGTTATTGCCATTAAAATCTTTAGCATAGTCTTTATCTTGCCCATACTATAGAGAGCAAGATGGAGTCATTCCTGCCAAGCAGTAACTTATATCAAGCAGTGGCACAAGTAACCAAGGCATTTCGGCTTAGACCAAATATTGCCGAACCAGCACTGGCTGAGACCCACTCAGAAACGATAACCAGGAGAAACAGGTTTGCCAATCAAGACTGAATAAATCCCTTTTGAAATGATTTGCAGCAAACAGTCAAGACCTTATTAATGCTGACTCTTTCACATCTGCCCACATCAGAAAGGTAGCTGCCACCGAAGGCCCTGCCCAACTGACCTCTGAACAAAATACAGATTGTCTGGGGTGCCTGGGTGGCTCAATCGGTTGCTGCCCTTGGCTCATGATCCTGGAGTCCTGGGATTCCGGCTCTCTGCTCAGCGGAGAGTCCGTTTCTCTGCCCCTCCCCTGGCTCATGTGCGTGCGTGCGCGCTCTCTCTCTCTCCTTGCATGCTCACTCTTTTTTCTCTCTCAAATAAATAAAAATCTTAAAAAGAAAAGAGATCCTCCACTGCCTGAACATAATAAGCAACTAGTGCTGTGAGCTGATCCGCACCAGACCCAGGCCTTATTTCAACTGTGCAATGGAAGACTGCATTAACTTCCTACCTCCAACTTCCCCTTGTTCTGTCTTGTTTGTTGTGTAACTTGTGCTTTGCTCTCTGTGATGTGTAAGAAGCCAAGTTAAACAGGTAGTGAAATGTCATCAAGTTTGGAGTCCTGTGTTATAATTATATTAACTTTGCTTTGAAACTGAATAAAGCTAACATTGCAGGGGGGGATGACATTGTGGAAAGACACAACTTGTGCGTGCACCTTCATAGTATACGCACGACACAAATTTACAGATAAAACTAAATATGCGGGATTTGCTTCAAAACAATGTGGGGAGAATGGGAGAGAGATGGCCCACAAAACAGGTCTGTTGAAACTGAGTGATGGTGTACATGGAGGTTCTTTATAATCTACTACTTGTCTCCTTGAAATTTTTCACAATAAAGAGTAAAACACAAACATAAATGCATCCCATAGCATGCCAGATATTCCTAGAGTACCCTCCTCTATTCCAGACAGGCAATAAATTTATAAAGAGGAAAGAGCACACTATATCAAAAGCGTCCCTAATTTTCACTTAATTGGTTACTTTGAGATTTCCTATGTTTTATTTAAACATTTAATGCTAACTTTTTTTAGTTTTACTTTACAAACAAAATGGGTAAGTACTATTTTATGAAACTTGTGTGAGTTGCTGTACAGGATAACTTGGAATAGTTTCAAATGTGGATTATTCAAAAAGGAACAAATTGATACATGCAACATGGATTAGCTTCAAATGCATGCTAAGTGAAAAAAGTCAGACACAAAAAACTATTACTCCATTTACATGAAATTTCTAGAAATGACAAAATTATACAGACAGTGGCTGCCTAGAGCTGGGTCCGACTGACTTGCAAATGGGCAGGAGGTAACTTTTTAAGAGGAAGTATTCTTTTTTTTTTTAAGATTTTATTCATTTATCTGACAGAGAGAGACAAAGCGAGAGAGGGAACACAAGCAGGGGGAGTGGGAGAGGAGAAGCAGGCTTCCCGCTGAGCCAGGAGCCCAATGTGGGGCTCGATCCCAGGACCCTGAGATCATGACCCAAGCCGAAGGCAGACGCTTAACAGGCGCCCCAAGAGGAAGTATTCTAAAACTGGATTGCAACTTGCACAGCTGTATACATTTTACTAAAATGATCAAACTGCACTTTTACAGTAGATGGGTTATACAGTATGAAAATTATACCCAATAAATGAAGCTAGAAAACCATATTGCTCAGTAATCATATTATACATGAACTCTGGTATACACATAAAATCTCTTCCTCCAGGCTTGAGGAAATGAAGAACACACAACACTATACCACAAAGCTGCACTACACAATGTGACTATTAAAATTTAAGTGAATTTGGGGCGCCTGGGTGGCTCAGTCGTTGGGCGTCTGCTTTCGGCTCAGGTCATGATCTCAGGGTGCTGGGATCGAGCCCCACATCGGGCTCCCTGCACAGCGGGGAGCCTGCGTCTCCCTCTCTTACTCCTCCTGCTTGTGTTCCCTCTCTCTCTGTATCTCTCTGTCAAATAAATAAGTAAAATCTTAAAAAAAAATTTTTTTAAGTGAATTAAACTAAAAATTCATTTCCACAGCTTTACTAGCCAAATTTCAAGTGCTAAATAGCTATGTAGATAAAGTGCTAAACAGCTAAATAGATTGCTAGTGGCAATCGTACTGGGCAGCATAGCTACAAAAGGTCTGGGATGAGTAAAACTAAAAGATGCCTCATGATACAAGGGACCAAGTTAAATTTTTACAATATTCTAAAAATGGTAATAGTTCGTTTATTTGCCTTCATATATAACCTTGTTAACACCCAGTAATTTTTTTTACAAAGTATTTAATTCGTTGCGAATTACTGTATATGTGCATATATGTACACTAGATCATGATATTAAAATGTATTCCTATGACCTGAGGTTAAAAGTTTTAAAAATTTCTTAAAGCATCCCCACTAAAGTATGAATTTTATGCAACCAATGTAATTTTATACCCCAGCATTCTGATTATGGTAAAGGGAGCTAATAACTTTGTACTATAGATCTATTTTTTAATACATAATTTACACACCATAATATTCACCCTTCTAAAGTGTACAACTTACTTTTCAGTATATTTTCACAAAACTGTGCAACCACCAATTCCAGAACATTTTCTATGTCTACTTTATTAACAATTAATAACTGCTATTATTTGAAATATTTGGAACTGAATCATTTTATCAATGTATTCAAGGCTTTAGTTACTTCTCTATTACATTACTTAAACCATAAACCACAATTTATTAAATTTGAACAGTAATTTGCAAGTGGGTACCATTAAAAACTGCTACAGAATAGTCAAGACATTTTTATGGAGAATACTCTTCTCTCTCTTTTTTTTTTAGATTTTATTTATTTATTCATGAGAGACAGAGAGAGAGAGGCAGAGGGAGAAGCAGTCTCCCAAGGAGCAGGGAGCCCGATGCGGGACTCGATCCCAGGACCCCGGGACCATGACCTGAGCCGAAGGCAGACGCCCAACCATCTGAGCCACCCAGG